AGGAGGGGAAGTGGACCCGAAATATAAAATATTAGCTTCAGCCAATCATTAGTTTCCGAGATATTAACAAAAAACTTTCAGTACTATACATTGAAACAGTGTATACAGACGTGACTAAACATTGAATGCTGCCTATACAGATGTTACTGAACAATCGTTTTCGATATAGCAGTCGTTGCAGTCAAGTGGCAGGCAAGTAGCCGATGACACAATAGCGATAGCGGCCTCAGTATCTATAGGGTGTCCCACGTAAAATTTCGGCGAAGCGATGACTGTCTAATATTACTGATCGCCTAGATATTCGGTAGTATTAGACGCTGTGCTCCAGCTCGACGGATCGAGAAGATGATCACATGTATGATTAGGTTAGGTTAGATTAAAATCCATGCTTTCAATGGCTGCTTAGTTTAATGAGCCTTATTTGGACGAAATTCGTCACCCTATAGATACGGGGTCTATATTCAACAGTTGACGGCAACGATCACTATAGCGAAAACGGTTGTATTAGTAACGTCTGTACACGCAGTTTCAATGTACAGCACTGAAAGTTTTTCGTTAATATTTTGGAGACTAATGATTGGCTGCAGCTAATATTTTATATTTGATGGCCACCCACCCTCCTTCTCCTTCCCGCCAAATTTCGTGTCGATCAGTGACCGGGGCCTTTCGAAACTTTATCCAACATCGCTTACGTTCCCAGTCGAAGTTCCGATCTTCTCTTACCTCACGTATTTCCCGTGCACGAGCATAAGAAACGCCAGCTTTACCATATTCCAACTGTTCGAGTTATCGTATGACATTAAATTCAATGCTCTAGCTACATGAGAATGACAGTTGTCGCAGCATATATTGTGCTGTGAAAGGAAGATAGATTTAGCTAGATAGAAAGTGGGTTTTGGAATGGGGGGGGATACGAAGATTGAACATTCCTAAACACTAACCATCCTAGTTTTATAAATTTCACTGGCTTCTGTGACAGCGGAATCCCACCCTTGTACGCCTCCTTTGGCTTTAGTATAGTTCAATTGCCAGTATTTGGTAGGTTTTCCAAACGTCATATTATCCTCGGAAACATGATATGGACCAGCAAAGTCCCGTATCACGCCGCTAGAAGTGGCGATGCCCATGTGACCGATGAACGGTAATAGATACCTTAACAGCGAAACGAAAGTAACCGCTTAGAGATTACGTTTCAAGTGAATATCATCTAGAAATTAACAGCATCGATGTATAGTGAATTGATCACCGATTCTATGGACACATGGAAGCTAAAACTATAATTTGTCCTACAGACGAACTTTGAACGTAAAAATCATCTAGGTTATTGTTTAGCTTTACTCACGTCAAAACCGGTAGCGGTGTCCAAACTATACAAAATGGAAATCTCTGTCTTTCTAGATTAATAGCAAGATCCATATTTGCCGGTTTGTCTGAGAAATCTTGCGATTCAGTCAATAATTGGTTCTCTTTCATATTTCGTTTTATCAGTGTGTGACAATGCAACTACACACACACGCTTGTCTCCCCCCTTCCCGCGAGCCGTCTCTTACTCCTCTCTCTCTCTTGTACGTACTCACGCTCCTAGAGTCATCTGATGCTGCTTTGTACAATCAAAGTTTGAATATATCGACGGGCGGGCGATACAACAGCAAAATGGTGGACTGGAATGAACGACGCGCAATTTGCCGTAAATATTAGAAGAGCAAAATGTACAAGTACGATCCAATTAAGTGATTACAAAGTACCTGTAGTATCGTTCAATATCTGTAATATTTAAGAAGCTTTTATTCCGCCATTTAATTTTCGGCTCAAAGCGTTTATTCGTACGATCGTAGTTGATTCGCGATGCTGTCGCCGGTTTGTTATGTTTTCTTGATCACCACGACGACGCTTCGATACTATTTCCATGATAAGAAGATGACAGGAAGTGGTGAAAAGTTATATAAAATTTCAGTTTTC